CTAGAAACCCAAAACATACAAGACGAGTGACCCTACTAGAGAGGGACATCCTCCCTCCTGTCTTCTCCCACCTCCGTCTGGTAGCCGGATTCGGCGTCCACCGCGCTCACGACTGCGGCGTATGCGGGCGCGGCGCACGGGAGAAGGAGGGGCAGAGGACAAACGAGCAGCTGAGGCGGAGCGACACAACAAGGGGCCCAGCAAACATGACATCACACACGGGGCTTGTGTCGCCCCACCTCACATAGCACATAGAGTGCCTATGTATGCAAGAGCACATAGCATGCTTCACATAGAGTGAATCTGTAGAGTAGAGGACAGCGAGCCCCCACACCCCATCCCATACATCTCATAACTTATAACCCCAACGACCCCCTGAAGAATTAGAAATCGCCTGGGCGAACCTGCGATGCAAACCTGACTGGATTGGCTGAGTGCCGCTGGCAGTAGCACGACTAGCCGAATCGAACAAACCATCCAAAGACACTGGAATTCTGCGCTTCTCCAGGCGACGCGCGACGTCTCTGAAGAGCCGCAGCTCTGCTGGCAGCAATGCGCTCGAGGCTGCGAGGGGGAAGGGTCGGAGGGGGGGGGGGCGGCGGCGGCGCAGCACTGGGAGCCGGGTCAGCAACGCAGCCCGAGCCGTCCTGATCCTCTGCCGTTGCCATCGCAATACGATGTGCAAACTCAGGCTCGGAGTGCTCGTTCGGAGTCGCAGCAGGTTGAGGGGGCTCAGGCCTGCGGATCTCAGCAACCCCGGCCGCCGCAGCCTTCTCCTTTGCCGGCCGCCGCTCGAGACGCAACATTTGGCCCCACGGACGGGGCCGACACATCAACAGAAGCTGAACCAACACAAAAGCGCAATAGCTCGGCACGCTCCTTTTTGTCATCTGGTTCGGGATCCAACAAGCGAGACTGCCCAAAAAGCGTGGTCAAGAGGGCCTCAAGCATGGATTGTGCGAGCACACTGCGTAACTCCTTATGATCTGCATTTTTCCGAGCCGACCTCCTGCGCTTCTCAACCTCGCCCCATCCGACGAGAGGCGGGTGCGCACGGGGGCCGTGCGAGCAGAAACCTCCTCCAGGCGTCTCTCTTAGCAGCCGGTGTAGCTTGGGCACGTGAATGGATGATATTGTTGTCGGCGCCCTGCCGACCTGTCCAAACTCGCACTGATCGAAACATGTAAACGTGGCTGCTGGCATGAGCGCCTTGGCTGGAAGAACATGCCACGACGGCACGCATCCCGGCTCCCAGCTAGGCGGGGCTGCGTGCTCCATCCATCCAAGCGCTTTAGAGACGGCCGCCACTGCCAACAGCTCAACGGTGGCCTAGAAAAGATCGTTTGCAGCTCGCACCTGAATCCTCTGCCTTGCCGTCACAGCCGTAAGGCCGCAGGGAGCTTGCCAAGTCCTCAACGGGGGCGGGGTTGGGGGACATCTCTCCACTTAGCCGTCGAAAACGTCTCAAATGGCCCCCCCCGATTGCCAGGATTACCAGAACGCATGTGGTCAGTCCAAACAGCCACCGCCTTCTCCCTGTCTAGGAGAATGTCGACTGCCAAAAGCATTAGTTCGAAAAGGAGGATCTGACGAACCAACCTACTTTCGACCTGATGCTGAATATCACTCTCCCCTACGCTGACCGCAACGCTGACCGCAAAAAGGAGAGCAACACAACCTAACCACATGAAATCCTCCTGGGCAACGAGAGGCCAAAGACTCTGTAAACGCCATGGTGCCAAACGGAAATTCAACGTCGATCGGCCTCGGGTCAGGCGGCTGCTCTACAACTGATTCGGGCACTGGTGACACCATCTGATGATTCCATCCTGTGGTCTGTTCAACAAACTCGATCACGATATGGTTGGCATCTGCACGCGAATAAATCCAACGAGTAGCCCTCGCATTGAGAGGAATAGGCCCATGGGGAGTCCGAGGGGGAAAGGCAGAGGTGGAGGAAGACAACACTCTTCGAGCGAGCTCCTGATTATGCTGCCCTTCCAAGTCAGCCATGACCAGTCTCTCCTCAGCACAGAGCGGCGGAATGTGGCGTATGTAAAAGACTGGTCATGCTGGTTTCATGGACGCAGGGGGGCTGATCAATAAAGCTTGTGATGAGCAATACTTCATGCACGCCGCACAGTGTTGTGTGTTGAGGCGAGCACGCACCAGCGCAGTGACTGTGTGACTGTGAAATGCATGGCACGCACGTGCGCACCCAAGGAACGCTAGCTGGTGAAGCTTTGTGGGCAAAAGTGACATGTCATGGCCAGCGGACTGGCAGCTTACTGATCCTGGCAAGCCAGCTGTTGTCAACATGGTCATGACACGAGCCTCCCACTGTTGAGCCTTGACATCCCCCTGAAGTCTGGCAACTGACGCATTCAACGCCTCCCTCAGGGTCCTCTTCCACCCCGAGGGCGACCTGAGCACCTCTGTCACCCATGCCTGAGGATCCCCGCTTGGTAGAGGCAACTCATTTAACGTATGATGCGACACACGAAGCCGCGAGAGATCCTCTCGCACCTCGTGCAGCCAAGACTTGCTTGAGGCCCGAAGCTCAGCCTGCAGCAAAGCCTTGATTGGAGGCGCCGCCGAGGGCAGCACTTGGCCAAAGAGTCGCAACCTTGAAACTCGCAAGATGGAGATGGCCGAGGGACGATTTGCTTTAGCCAGCACCTCCTTGTCGGTAGGTCCACCTGACTCAAACCGTGGCAATCGCATGATAGATCGATATCTCCTGACATATCGAGCATGCAACTTGGCCGAAAAAAACACAGGCACAATGAATCGTCGTTCCCCAGGAAAACCTGGTAACATATGGGAAGTGGGGGGCAGACAGAAACCCAGAAAATATGGGAAAATGTGTGGAATCCTTTTATTTGTGTGTACTTATTTGTGTGTCTCAGGGCCCCTTCACAAGCCCCGGGCGCGTACATCGCTGCATTGACGAGCAGCGAATCCGGGAAGACAAGATTTGGCACCATGTCCCCAGCTGGCGCCTCAGCAACAGCCTTGCGCAGGGCGGAGAGGGCAGCACCTGCCTCTCGGCCTCTATAGACTAGCTCTGGTCCTGAGGACCCACGATCGTCCAGCACTGAACCCCAAACACAGGAGGAGGGGGAGGAGGAGGAAAAGGAGGAGGAGGAGGAAAAGGAGGAGGAGGAGGAGGAGGAGGAGGAGGAGGGGGAGGAGGGGGAGGGGGAGGAGGAGGAGGAGGAGGAGGAGGAGGAGGAGGAGGAGGAGGAGGAGGGCGGAAGAGGAGGAGGCGCGCACCACTGAGATCGCACTACCTCCACAAAGCAGGCCTGGAACTGCCAAGGCAGGCTCCCCACTGTCAAGTAGATTCCCCCTATAGGAAGCCGACCCCCTACCCCTAACATCAATCAATAGCTCCGTCTTGCCTGTCTTCAGGTGAGGAAAAAGCTGCAACTGAGCTAGCCTGAAGCTGTGCTGCAACTGAACTAGTCAACTCTGCAATGACAAAAATGAAGATGGCATCGCCAGATGGCGTGCCATGCCGCGTGCCCTGATGTGAAATGGCCGGCCTCTCCGCGCCTGGAACCTGAAATTGTCCCATTCCAAAAGCCTCCTCCACCACTGCACAATCATGCTCCGAAAGGTTCTGCCTGCGCAGTAGCGGCATGCTGGCCAGGCGAACTTGCAATAGCGGGAAGTAATATGCAGGCAACCCAGCACAATTTTTAGCCGCATGAGGGAACTCATATGTGGTGTCGGTCCAAAGTGCCATTTCACGGATACAAGAATAGAAGGCGTTAACAACATCCACAAACAGAAATGCAATTGATTTGGATGTTGCCCTAGCATACCTATGTAATACCCTTGCCGACAGTGTGGCCATAGCAGTGCCCCTACCAGGGATGCAGGCAAATTAGTGATGTCTGACGTGCTCGTTAGAGAGGGGAGGAGACGAGCGCGAAGACAATAATGATATCTCTCACCTACATGGGAAGCAACAAGGATAGAACGGGATGCAGAGGTCGCATAAACATCTCCCTTCCCCTTAGGTATGTGCGGCAAGTCCCTTCCCTTCCATTGAACCGGCTCCGACAGCAACATCGCAGACTTGAAAACCAAAGGGTAATACATTGGAGCTAGTGCGGCAGCACAGCCTCGTACAAAATTGCCACGCAAACCATCAACCCAGCTGCTGAGTTGCTAGTGGACCTCAAAGCCGTCTCACATCGTGGGAACATCCTCAAGTGTCCTGTGATCTGGTAAGTGCGTGCCGACACGATCCAGAAACACCCGAGAAAACAGCTCTGGAAAAACAAGGGCCGCCAGCTCCTGCCGACCGAAAAACTCCAGCCATCTAGCATGAGCTTCCTGAGCGGATTGCGCCAAACCACCTCCAGACATCTGCACGGCCGGCACGACCCTGGATTGAAGATGGCGCTTGCCCGACGCGCCCAGAGCACGCAGGGATGCTGAGGCACCTGCGAAACCAGACCACGCATCATAGACCTGCTGAGCAACCCTGGCTAACTGATCCTGAGCTTCCTGCTTGACTGCCCGATTCGCTCTCACAACCAGCGGACGCAAGAGCGCAGGCTGAAACGGAGCACGCCTGTTCGCAATGACCCGAGCCGCCGAGGCAAGACACGAAACCGCCGCCACACCAGAAGTGGCACGAGCCCTGGGATCTTTAACCTTTGTGACCTTCCTAGAGTTCTATCCTCCAGTTGGCAAAGACCGTGCTGTACCCAGCAGGAGCAGGAGGAGGAGGCGGCGGAGGAGGAGGAGGCGGAGGAGGAGGAGGGGAGTGAGGAGGAGGAGGAAGAGGAGGAGGAGGAGGGGGAGGAGCAGCAGCAGGAGGAGCAGGAGGAGCAGGAGGAGCAGGAGCAATGGCAGGAGCAGGAGCAGGAGCAGGAGCAGGAGGAGGAGGAGGAGGAGGAGGAGGAGGAGGAGGGGGAGGAGGAGCAGGAGGAGGAACCGACCCCCCCTCGGTGTGGACTGGCAGCGCGGGCGGGCGGTCCAAGGCGCCCTCCTCCGACGCCTCCGTTCCGCGAGGCCGCCGGCGCGGCCTCGCTCCCAAGCGCAGGAGGGGGTTCGCTGGGGCGGCGGCCCCCTCGCTCGCGCGGACCCGGCCAGCTTGCTCGCCTCGGGGAGGGGGCGCTCGGGGGCGGCAGAGAGGGCGGGAGGCAGGGGGAGGAGAAGGAGGAGGAGGAGGAGGAGGAGGAGGACGAGGAGGACGAGGAGGAGGTTGCACTCCAGTGACTGTTGCTTCCGTTCTGCCCAACTGACTCAGGAGTTATGCAGGGTGACCCGTCCAGTGGCAGCTTGTGGGCGCTGGCGATGGACCCTCTAATTCGGGACATGCGAAGCAGGCTCCGTAAGCATCCTGCATCGGAGGTGGGGGTTTGCGCGGATGATGTGGGGGTGGCGGTGAGGGAGCTGGCGGCACTATCACGATTGTCTGGCACATGTTACGTTGCACGTCTCCTGGCTGGCCTATGGCTTAAGATTCCGAAGTGCCAGATCATCCCTGTCTCTGCCCCTCTCTCCTCCCAACTCGTTGAGCAGGTCCAGAGCAGTTTGAGCCAGCTTGTTCCGAGGTGGGCAGCAATGCCAATTGTGTCGGCGGCGGGATATATTGGGGTGTGGATCGGCCCAGCAGCGTCGAGAGAGTTAATGTGGCGTCGTGCGTTCCGAGAGTGGATTGTGGTTGTCAAAGAATTAGCTGCGACTAAGGCCGCCCCCTCGATAGCCGTCACTTTGTACAACTCGAGAGCTGTGTCGAAGCCCAGCTACCTATCCCAGCTCTCTCGCATGCCCCAGCCTGTTCTGAGATGGGAGTCGTGGGCTCTCCACAACATCCTCCACCTCCCTGCCTTCTCTTTTCCCCTTTCTCAATTGCTCGCTCTGCGACAATGGCCGAAGATTCGCCCGCAGTCAATGCTTGTTCAATCGCTCGCGGCTCTCCTGCGCACATCCAGGCAGACGATCACGAATTGGCGTGCTTTGTGGAGGACCCAGCAGCAGGCGGCGAGATAATTTTTGCCAATGAAGATGTGGATCCAGGGCAAGTGGGAGCCAGAGCGCTGGATCGAACCATCATATGTCCAGGAGCTTGCTGCCGCTGCTGATGGCTTTTCCTCATCCCGTCGTCTCGCCCGTCCTGTTGCTCTCGCCATGGATGCTCTCAGCGAGGCGCAGAGGGTCCAGGCCGTGGCTGGGGGTCCCGTGGTCCCTGTTTAGGGGACGATCTCGAGGCACCTGGAGGTCGAGCTTTTCCAGGAAAGTTTAGGAGACACCATATTTAAGCGCATGGAGAAGTGGACTGCAGCGCCTCTATCTCCCCAGGCCAAGGCTGCGTGCAGCTGGAAGATGCTCAAAGAGTGTCTCAGTGCCCTGCCGCCCTCTTGGCAGGCCTCGACTATTAAGACGGTGGCGGGGGTTGGACGACGGAGCGGAGGGTTCGACAGATCAATATACCCTGTAAATTCGGTTGCCCCAGTGAGTGCGACACGCAAACGCATTATTTGTTTTGTCCGTTGTTGCGGGGTGCTGTGCAAACCGTTCGGGCACCGTCGAGTCCGCCCGAGATCTTACTTGATCGTAGGCTGGGGACCGCCAAAGCTATGACAGGAGAACAACGGTTGCTCGCTGTGCAGCGCCTGATTTAGAGTTTCTACTTATATAACTCGATTCGGCGTCAGGCCAATGTTGATCCAACGTTGATTGCACAGCACGCCCGTGCTGCCAGAGCGCAGCTATTGCAGCAACTGGGCGATCGAGCGAGCTCAGCGATTACGAACTCATTCCGAGCTACGGACGAGGAGGAGGAGGAGGAGCAGGAGCAGGAGCAGGAGGAGGAGGAAAAGGAGGAGGAGGAGCCACGCCTCCGAGGAACGGATCGACGTCCACGACGAGGCGCTGCGCCTGTTCTGGCATGCCCGTCGACGGGGAACAAGGGGCATCCTCCTCATCGTCCTCGCCTTCCTCGAGGCAGCCTGGAGCGCCGCGGAGCCAGATGCAACGCACGACGATCGCCTGTCAGGCCTCGCGTGCGTCGCGGGTGACTCGCCGTGGCTCCTCGCCCTCGGGGTCATAGTCGCCATGGAGTCGCTGATGGTGGTGTGGGATGCCGCCGCGGGCTGCCTCGCCGATGGCCGAGCTGCGGCTGCAAGCCTGGGCAGGCGCCGCTGCTGGAGCCGTCTTCGGGCGTACGGCTGGGCAGCCGCACGCCTCGGAGGGAGCCTTGCCGTTGCAGCTGCCGTGGGTGTTATCGCAGGTGGCCTTATCTACGCGTGGGCGTCTGCAGCAACGGCATCTCCAGCAGCCGCCCCAGCCATCTGGGCCGGTCGCTGGAGCGCTCTGGACTTTGACGCGACGCTCAGGTATCCGGGCGAAGGCCCCAGCGCGACAGCAGGAGGAGGAGGAGGAGGAGGAGGAGGAGGAGGAGGAAGAGGAGTGACAGGAGGAGGAGGTGACGTAGCAGCGGCAGGGGTTCAGCAGGAGGAGGCAGAGGGGTTAAGCAGCCGCCAAACTTGCCATGGCGAGCAGGCAGCGGCAGACATGGACGTGGAAGAGCCTGCGGCGGCCGAGGACGCCATGGCGGTCGACCTGCAGGGAGGAGAAGGGAAAGGCAGAGGAGGAAGAGGAGGGGTTAGGTGTTGCCGCTTGGTCTTGTCTGTGCAGCCCCATGGAGCCCGTCGGCTAGCGCGCGTGGAGTGCCATCGGACCCTCGATGGAGGCACCGCCCGAGTAGCGCGAGCGGCGGACCACGCACGGAGGCGGTACTACCGCACGCGGTGACCGAGGAAACCGCGCGAGCGATACAGCAGCTGATCGCCCAGCAGGCCGCAAATGCTGGGGCGCCGGGTGGCGGGGGCGGCGAGGGAGGAGGAGGAGGAGGAGGAGGAGGAGGAGGAGGAGGAGGAGGAGGAGGAGGAGGAGGAGGAGGAGGAGGAGGAGGAGGAGGAGGAGGTGGAGGAGGAGGAGGAGGAGGAGGAGGAGGAGGAGGAGGAGGAGGCGGCGCGGGAGGCGAGGGAATATGAGCACAGCCCAGTGCCGTTCACGATGCCGACGCGAGACCCCGGGCGCATTCGCAGGGGACACAGCGTGGCCCTGCCCAGACTTGGGCTCGCTCGACTCGGTAGGAGCGGACGCTTTGCTGGAGAAGCCGGTGATGTGCGTCCCTCGCGTGCCAGAGAGTCTGCAAGCGCAGCATCGCGCCGCGAAGCTGGTCCTCCTCGAGAAGGTGGCGGAGGCGCAGACTGAGGGAGAGAAGCTTCGTGAGTGCAAGGCGCCGCTGTTGCTGATGGGCCGCTTCCTCCTCTGGAAGGGTTTCCGTCGAGGCGGCAAGGGCAGAGGAGGAATTCGCCAAAACGCCAGTGAGCGTGCCATCGCCGAGCGGCTCTCCCTTGTCTGGTCAGGCCAATGGGCAGCCCTGGCGCACGCGGTCCGCGACGCCGCGCGGCCGGCGCGCAGGAGGAGGGGGCCGGTCGCGCCCGAATGCATCCGTGAGTTCGTGGACGACGGCGCGCGGAGGCGGCTGCTGGCAGCTCTGCGCGGCGGCGCCCCCATGGTGGACACCCCAGATGCCGTCGACGAGCTCGGCCGCCTCCTCCCGAACGAGGACGGGGCGGTTGGTTCTGAGGGGGGGGAGTTGGGAAGGATGTTTGGAGGACAGGGGCGACTGGTTGTGAGGAGGCCGCGCCTCAGGCGCCGCCCTTGGCGCGCTCCGCGCGCCAGGGAGGGGGGTCCAGCGCGGATCCAAGAAACCCGCGCGGATCTGTAAGTTTTTATGTTAATGCCATTTTTCGTTCCCTTAATCTTGAGCGCAGCCATTGTTTGGAGGGTACGGGCGATTGGCTGTGAAGAAGGGGGGTTGGGAAGGAGGAGGTGGTAGAGGATGGGGGCATGGCACGAGGCCAGTATCAGGGGCAGCGGGGCGATGGAGAGCAGAGCAGGCTTGATCCAGAGCGGGAGGAGGCAGAGGAAAAGGAGCGGTGCGGCCAGGAGAAAAGGATCAGCCGGAGGAGGAAGGGATGAGAAAGAGGCGGAGGAGGATAGCAGCAGGAGCGGAGTAGAAGGGGGACAGTGCGGAATATGGACCGAGGGATCGAGAGGTGGAAGAGGCAGTGATGAACGAAGGACGGGGGAAGACGACAATAATCCCTAGATCGACGACAAGGGTAAGGGTGGAGGGAAGAGGGGAGGAGACGTTGGGACGCGTTTCAATGGCCCGGTAGGGTCAGTCCCTTTTCGCGATGGATGCGATGGCCGCCGAGTGGGGGAGACACGAAAAATTGATCGCCCTCATCATCTCTGCTCGTCGATCAATCATCCGCCCTCTCTGCTCAGTTGTTCGTTGTCCGTGCTCCCTCCCTATACCTCCGTCATACATTTCTTCCCCCTCTCCTTCCCTCCCTTTCTCTCTCTCCCTCGCTCTCTTTTTTTTTTGTTTTCTCTCTCTCTCTGTCCCGTAATCACTCGCGTTTTCGTGCCCCTCTCCCCGCTCCTCCTTCCCGTCAACTCTCCCCCAGCCAACCCACCCTCCTCAGCTGCGTGCGTCCTCCCTCCCGTCTTTCAAGTCTTTCAGAGTTTTCAACCGCATGTTGGCCTTTCGTGGGGCCTCACAAGAGCGATAATTGCAGGCTGCTCGGTAAAGGACTCCATCCCAAGAAAGCTGGGGCCACAGTCAATGCTGTGCCCCATCCAGTTGTCCTTGGACGTTGATGTCAAATTGCACCTTTGGCGACAGACTACCCTCCACAGCTCTTCACAATACTGAAGAGACCCTTATCGAAGACGCCTGCGGCGAATCACCGCCGCCCCCTGCCTTCTAGAATCGCCCATGCCAAGCGTTGTGGCAAGAACTTTACCCAGCTATCGGACCATGTGGTCCCCCAACCGTTGTGGAAACCCTTTGGGGAAAATTTGGGGAAGAAGGCAGAAAAAGATCAGGAGGAGGAGGAGGAGGAAGTGGAGGAGGAGGAGAATGAGGGGGCATCCTGGGAGCCTCTGGGGACACTCTTGGGGCCTCCTGGGGGTCTCCTAGGAGCCTCTTGGAGGGATCTTGGGGGCCTCCTTGGGCCTCTTGGGGGCCTTTGGGGGCTTCTCGGGTGCCCTTGTCTGACGCCGTCAACAACCGTCTTAAAAGCCTCCCT